TTAAATAAAATGTTTCATAAATCATAAAATGTTTGCGGATTCAAAAAATGTTCGCAATTTTCTATAAAAATATTTGCTTATTCAAAAAATGTTTGACATTTTGAAAACATTGTTCAGAAAATTAAAAATTGTTCAGGATTTTTTTAAATAGTTCATGTATTAAATAATGTTAAAACAAAGTTACACCAATTCAAAAAATGTTCATGGACGAAAAAATATCCTAAAAATTAAAAAAATTGTTCGTGACTTACAAAATAGTTTATCCAGTCATAAAATGTTCGCCGATTCGAAAAATGATCATGCATTTAACAAATGGTTATTAAATAAAAAAATGTTCGCCGATTCAAGATTTAAAAAAAATATTCACTAGGTTTTTAAAAATGTTTGCAAATAGTATAAATGTTCATGAGTTCAAAAAAAATCTTGATTTTAGAAAATGTTCGAAAATTTGTAAAAGTGTTCAGGAATTTAAAAAATGTTCACGACTTCAAATATGTGCACGAGTTTAATAAAATGTTCATGATTTCACGAAATTAAGAATGATAATGTATCTCGGTGATGCAGGAAAATGTGTTTGTGGCTATTGAAAATTATGAAAAAAAATCTCCTGTTACAACACACGGACCATTTTACTAGTAATATCTATACATACAATTAATGTCCTGGCTACGAAGTGCATGCACGTACGAATTTTTATGCTAGTGTAAAACAAGTAGCCCTTTCCACTTTAAATCTCAGGCCGTGCAGAGTCTGCCGACGCGGTTCGAAAACAGGAGCATGACTTGAGGACTCGAGGAGTGAGGGCCAGTTCTTTTGGGCGATTCTATTAGAATCGCCTTTTTCCCCAGCTTCTCTCAAAATCATCATTTCATATGTTTTTTACAATTCTAATTAATTAGATGTTAACTAGATAGGATTGTAAAAAAATATGGAATAGCGATTCTGGAAGAAGCTGGGGAGGAGGGCGATTACGAGAGAATCGCCAAAAAGAACCGGCCCTCATTCCCAACCGGACCGGTTCATGAGGGCAGGGAGTACCCACGTGGCCACGTGTAAGGATGAGCCGTTGCTCCATGATGAAAGAGCCTCTACGTGGATCACGAGCTCACGTCTGACGTGACGCGAGGAACCCCACCTGGCCGCGTCAACCACGGCATTGCTTGTTGCCACGTTGGCCCCGTAGAGATGCTAGCGGACCACAGCCGTCAGCTACGTCTGGAAAGTACTACCAACCCAGATCACAAAAAGATCATTATCAATCGATGATCAAGTGAAATAACATGAATATTGCTTCCCGTACACCATATAACGCACCAAAGAGTAAGACGCATCGTCCCTCTTTCTTCCCACATGTTGGCGGATACTCTATGCATCAGTTTGCAGATAATATTAATCTGTACACACTCTGACAAAAAATGAAGCCGGGGATGTGCTATGGATGGAGTAAATGGTCACCTCATGGTCAGAACACATCTATGCTAGTACTGTATTGTTCTATTCAGTCAATGTTGTTGTACTACCAGGTCAAAAAAATATATTATTGCACTAACAGTAAACCGAAGGTACTTAGAGTGTGGATGAAGCGAAATTAGAACAGCCATAGCAGGGCTTTATATCGGTATTTCTCTCCACAAGCCTATCATTTTAGAAACCGGTTGTTCTTTTGTGGTTTTCTTGGAAACGATTATTTGGATAGGTCTCCTCTAGCTGATCTTAAGAGGGAAGCATTGAGCATCTCCAGAATGATGACAAGATTTAAGATATCCAAGATTAACTGAAGGGGCAATAGGGTAGCGCACGAGATTGTAAAGTTCGGTTTTGTTAATAGGTCTGATGGTTTGTTTCTTAATAGTGTTCTCCCTGTGTGGCTGAAGTTGTAATGGATAATTGTATAAATGTTTTTAATTTATTAATATATGGAAATAGTTTTCAAGAAAAAGTAACCCAGCTCCCTTGGTCCAAACACTTTGTTTGGTCTTTTGTACGTGACTTTTCGCTGCATTTTCGCAAGGCACGTAAATTAAAGGTTGACGAGCAAAAGTAGATTTAGTATGAAATTAGAATCACGGTGGCCCATTTATACCAAAATCCGATAACACAAAAATATGTAAAAATATGAAGTAGATAATACATGGTATTATGGCATCTCCAATGCGAACCCTTAGACCACCCGCACCCGTTCAGACCGAACGGGACGCATTTTACCATCCAACGTGGTATCCATCGGCTCGTGGATCGGTACAGATGTCTGTTTTCCTGCAAAACGGAGGCAACCCAAGTGGGCTTTGTGAGCATCGAGGTCGCTGCCATGCATGCGTCTATCACCCCGGTCCCATCGAAAACTCTTCCCGCACCCTCTCCCACATGAAGATGTTGTCGCATATTCATTCCAGTCAGTGCTGCACCAAAGCGCCGACGCCACACTCATGTCGGCCCATAACGAACACGACCTCTCAATGGAGCCCTCATTGAAGCGACGCGCAGACCGAGAGCGCGCCCGCGCCATGTCTCGGTCACCGACGATGCAATACACTAGGGTGGTCTCTCTGAGGGGAGCCGGGTAGTAGGCCCGCGTCAGGGCCTAGAGCCCTAGCAGAAGCCCGACCAAAGGAGGGGCCCAGAGACCAGGATAAGGATCATGAGACCATCTTGTCGTGCAAACCAAGATGTTGGCGGCAGGAGGTCGGTTAGATCCCTTGTAAACCCTTGCCCTCGTCACCGAGGCTAGGCGTGGTTCCCATCTACTTCCGTAGAACCATACTCTCGGTATACTCATACATCAACTCCATTGTAACCCCCTCGCACGAGGTGCTCCACCATCAATACAAATCAAAAGCATGATGTAGGGTATTAATAGTCCTGGCCATGGGCAGCCCGGCCCGACCTTGTCCATGGGCCGGGCTCGGGCCTAGGTTTTGAGCCCGAAGCACGGCCCGGGCCAGGCCCGGGCCCATCGTTTTCACTGTTTAATGAAGATGCCTGACTCATGGCCCGAGGCCCGACGGGCTTTTAGCGTGATGGCTGGGCTCGGGCCCGATTTTTAGGCCCGACAGCTGGGCCGGGCCGGGCTTGAGCCTGGGTTTTTGCGTCGGGCTTTGGTTGGCCCAGCCCAAAGCCCGACCAACCCAGGCCCGAGCCTGGCCCGGCCCGAGGGATGGCCAGGTATAGGTATTAGTATTACCTCAATATGAGGGTCGGAACCTGGGTAACTCCCTCGTGTGATCTCCGATCTAGCACTTACGGCAGTCTCGATTTGGTATTTACAGTTGTGTTTGCCACCCTACCGAGGGTACTTAAGGTTTTCTGTACTGTCAATCTCCACACATGTTCGTTGTCGGAGAGACTTGATCGGACGACTCTTTTCGCATTCAAATCGGTTGCCCGTTTGTCCGTATGCTGACATTAAACAAGCGCAGCTGCCGATAAATCCACTACGACGCCCGCATTCACATAGCACGCCGCTTAGCCTGACCGGCACCCGCATTCACACATCCCGTCACTTAGCTTGGTTGGCACCCACTATTTATACGTGGCCAGGCCCGGCAAGATCCACACTGCACCACACCTCCGCTCCCAATATACGTGGCCAGGCCCGGCACGATCCAAGCTGGCTTGCCAGCGAGCTTGCCGGAGAGCAGTGCCACCACCCTTGCCGGTCCATGTTGGTATCACCTTGGAGCATGCATGTGCGAACTTCGACGCCGTAATGGAGAAAGAGCTGCAGGCACCATTGGTGTGAGCGTTTCGATAGATGCTGGAGGACTAAAGCTACAACCTCCAGCTCATCGACTAGCACCAACTTGTAGAGGGGCAAATCAGCGACAAGTAGGAGAACGGCGATGTCGTCGCAACCATGGTTGCGGAGGATCCAGGCTTTCTGGATGAGCAACGGGCGTTGTACCCGTCCACGCGCAGAGCCGCCACGAGTGATGGCGGTTGGATGTCCCGTGGGCGAAGAGGGACACCCTGTTCATGGAGATAGACGCATAGGTGGCCGAAGAGGAGGCGTATGCGACCGCGGATGACATCATCTCCGTGTCGGCTACGCTAGAACCGCACTTCATGCCCAGCCGCCACAACCACGAGGCTAATAAGTCCATGTTCGACACCGTAGACACGGCAGACTCGAGTAAGAAAGAGTAGTACATGGGACGCTGCCACGACTTGGGTCCCAGAAAGGCCACTCCTATTCTTTCCCGGGGCTCATGTCTGGTGAGCTTACCTGACATGGGGAAGACAGGACATAGGAGACAGACTTCGCCATGGCGGACGGTCATTTAGATTAGTTTGAAAAAGTCTCGTCCGCTTTTGTTTAGTTGAAATGTGTCGATGATGTATGATTTAAATGAAATTCATCCGGTTTGCATAAATTTCGTCCTTTTTGTTCAAATTTGCTTTGAAATATATATATATATATATATGCGGGCCTGGCTGGATGGCTAACCCGAGTATCACTGTCCACTCACAAATACAATGTCTATCATAAGGGTTTGCGTTGAAGATATCCTTACAAAATAAAGTAAGAACATGGCCAATAAAGACTAGCCCTTGACGAATATTTTTTAATAGAAGAAACAACCGTGAGCACTACGCGTGAGCTAAGACTTGAACATGGACGAGCTGGTCACGCACTCGCATGCCCAGTCTGTTTTTCATGGTACTACAAAATTGAAAGTCTAACCAAACGATGAAAACATTTTCTCACGAGTGAGTTTTGTAAATTTTACTAAATTTTTTACTTCTCTTTAATTGATTGGCCAATACAATTCCATTCAAGCTAGTAACGGAAATTCACACGGATATTCCAAAATTGAGCGGCTTTTGGGCCTCGATGGTGAACCTATTCTCATGTGGCCATAGCAAAAAAGAGTGAAAATGACCGGACCCAGTATAAATGAAGAAGGAAAGCGTGGATTGCTTTTTGTCCTCAAAATTTCCCCAAAACTCCTCTTCCCCTTCTTCTTGCCAAGGAAGCAAACAGCAAGCGAGGGCGTGCGCAAATGGCGGATTCGTCGGCGCCGACGCGGGTGATGATGGCGGTGAACGAGTCGTCGCTCAAGGGGTACCCGCACCCCTCCATCAGCTGCCGCTCCGCCTTCGACTGGATGCTCTCCAAGCTCGTCCGCTCCAACACCGACGGCTTCCACCTCCTCTTCCTCCACGTCCAGGTCCCCGACGAGGACGGTACGTGCAACCGCGCGCCCCCCTCTTGCGTCCCGTGAAGTGCCCCATGGGTGGATTTGCTTGCTTGCTGCGTACTTGAGGTGCTCGACGAAATGCGCCGGTTCCCTCTCGGTCGGCGCAGGGTGGTGGTGGTGGTGTGGCCTTGGTATGCGACGCCGTCGCGATGTGGGCGGTGGCTCTTCTTCGATCACGGTGTATCTGTTCGTAGCACGCCCTAGTGGTTTCAGATCGAATGCGCGATGAGTTCTTAGCATTGATCCGTGCTATCCTTACTGCAATCCCACTGTTCCTGTTCACGGGATGCGTCTGCTGCTGCGACCTGTGTACTAGACTCTAGTGTTTTGGTGTGAATCACACGAACTGTCGGCAGAAGAGGGAGATTACATACTACTTCTGATGCATCCGCTCGTAGCATCCTTTTTCGGTTGCATATAGTTGTCACGGTACTTTATGGGGAGCTTGTTCTGTTTCAGGGTTAGTCAATGGCATGTACAATTTTAGTAGATTAATCATACTAGCTGGTGGTTGTTGCCTTGTTGGTAGTTGTTGCGGCATCTGAATTAACTGTACCGCTACAAATGCCATGACCAGAAGCTGTGGCGAATGTACCAAGTGACTCTGCTTTCATGGCCTGTTGTCTAGCCTTGATAATATACTGAACTGGAATGCTGGTTATGTAGTTTTTGCTGTTTCTGGATAGAGGGTACTGCATGACTGGTGTGATACTAGTGCTCTGTAAGTTGTGTAAATGCAGATTGCAGAGGTTTTATATCCTCTAATCTTAACAAACGCATGTGGTGGTACTACACAGTGTATTTTTTAATGGAAGGCATACTGCACAGTTTAGAAGAGCATGTCATCTGATTGATGCGCCCCAGTTGGGTTCAGTTACGAAGGCATACTGGCTTGGGCCTTTTCAGCCTACACCTTACACGTTGAGATATTATCTACCATTCCTCAGCTGTTTCTGCTGCCCAGTATTATTTTCTGCAACACCTTGTTTCTCGTGTTTGAAGAAATGCTGCTCTTGCAGCAATATTTGGCTCATAATACCTATTTATGTCTAGTATCCTATTTAGGCCAATTTGGGGTGGAAGAGTATCCTCTTCCCTTGCTATTATAACTGCACAATGTGCTATTTGATTCATTCAACCGTTCTTCAGGAATACAATGACTTTATTTCTCTGTGGGCACTAACGTTTTACTTCTCATGCCCTTAGAGGCGTACCTCCAGCAAAATTCTGGGAATAATTTTTCCAAAGTCAATTCAAAATATTTTAAATAATTTACAAGAAAGAAGAGTTGCCTTTCAATTTTATAGTAGAACTAGCGGAGAGAAAGAGCTCCAAAAAATTAAGCTGTTTAATTTTGCTTTGCAAAGGTTTTCATGAATTAACCTGGCGGTATATAGTAGTGAGTCTGCAACAGCTAGTCCTTTTGATTCCCATGGAATGGCCGGATGAAGGTAAAGGCACGTTATGCCGTTATAATAGCAATTGCAGGGTATTACATATCCACATGAGTTGGCTGTCCATCGAGTTGTTTACTAACTTTGCATGCTTTTGTTCTCCATGTTTGCTATGCTGCTCGAAATAGTGTATGCGACAAAATAGCTTTTGTGCTTTCCAGTGATTTGACCTGAATCTTTGTTCTGTTCTCGCGATTTTTGGACTAAAAGGCACTTCAGCTGATACTTGAAATTCAGTAGAGAATGTCCAAGAAAGCTTAGGGAGCACTTCTCTTGATGCCACTTAAAATGCTTTCCCTCTTTGTCTTCTAAACCGTTCTTTTTTGTCACTTCTTCTTGCTGCTTGAAATAGCTCCTTGCTTGTAAGATAGCTGGGTAGTAAAGTAACTCAATTGGTCCTAGTGCTTTATGTTATAATATGGTATAGTTGATATCTGGTTAACAAATTGTATGCATAGGAATCCTACCTTGAGATGCACTGTCAGGCTAGGTGCCCATTTAACGTGGATGTTCAGCCTGAATTCTGCTCAGTAAATCGCTTCTTGTAGACTCATGTCGCATGCATTTGCATGTACTCCTTCCGATCCGGATTAAATGACGCAGCTTCTATACAATGTCCAGTTTACATTGTATAGAGGCTGTGTCAATTAATTCGGGTCGGAGGGAGTATCATTTTCTCCCAGTTTATTGTGAAACAGTACATTATGGAGTACCGAGTATTTGCTTAAACATCAGATATTTGGATCATAATTTTTTTATCTGCCTGGTGTATTTCTGATTTGTCTTTGTTGCCAATTCCAAAGGATTTGATGATATGGATAGTATATATGCATCACCGACGGACTTCCAGAGCATGAAGCAGAGAGACAGGATAAGAGGGATTCACCTACTTGAGTACTTCGTGAACGAATGCCATCGATTGGGGGTAGTTACATTTTGTTTTTTTCTCCAGTACTATAGGCTCCAGTCAGGAACAGTTGCCATTTTGGTTCCTAACAGCTTATCTAATTATGCTGCAGATAAAATGTGAAGCTTGGACCAAACAGGGGGATCCAAAGGAGGTTATCTGCCATGAGGTGAAGAGAGTCCAGCCTGATCTTCTAGTTGTGGGAAGTAGAGGTCTCGGGCCATTTCAGAGGTAATTTATGTTAAAATCACTTACCTTGTCAGCTTGAATATCATTTTTATAGAAGGTTGCATGAGTAATCTTCATTGTGTAATAACATGGCTACATGTATGTTTTGATAAAATGGTTCATCAGCTAGGTGTGCATCTCATCCAAACTAAGATATATATTCACAATCAACTTTCTTTGGCAAAATTGGGCTGGATCGAATGTACTGTGTTTTTGATGGGGGCATTTGAAAAGTTGATTTTATGATATTGTTATGATATTACAGTATTGTCCCTCCTCTGTTTTTTTCCTGTCTGTTACCTTAGTAAGTTAGTATAGTGGCAGGGTTAATGTTGCTGTATTCTGAAGCAAGCATACCTATCTTACTAACATGCCAAACACAGAAAATATCATCTTGCTAATTTTCATGCATGTTACTACCTCCATTCGTAAATATAAGACGTTGGGGCAGTTTAATTTAAACTGCCCCAGCATCTTATATTTAGGAGTAGAGGTAGTAGATAATTGTATCAGAACAACTGTGTTTCTTTAGCCAAATGTTTGCAGTATTTGCGATAAGCATTGTACATGAAAGTATAGAACATCAGTTCTTGCATCTTGATCTTGTCAGTTTTGGACTTCTGGTTGTATAGTTATGATGGAGATCTCTAAGATGAGGGTTGAATGGAGGCGCTTTGAATTCGATCTATTGGATAACCCACAGCTATGTCTTACAGAACATCGGAAAATAGCCAACAGTTTTTTGTCCTCAAATTTGTGCTGATCACCTTGGTAACTTAACCAAAAATGATTTCTATAATACATCAAGCACACTTAATGTCTGATATTGGGAGCCGACTGTGAAACTGTTATTGTGGATAACAACATTATAATTTGGATGTTATGCTTGATTTGCTAACCTTGAACTCAAATCTGAGCATACCACAATAAATCTGATACTGTTGAATTCTTTACACAGTTCTCTTTCGAATAAGTTGTATGCATTTTATCCTCTGTATTTGGCATACCAACCCTCCTTCCCAATTTGTCATCATGATATGCTTTTCTTTCTTAGAGAAAAAAAAGTATCGTATTCCTTTCATTTTAGTGTAGAAAAAAAAGGTAACCTTACATGGACTATATGATCAGAGAACATGGTGCATTGTTATATGCCTATGCACCTTGTAGTGAAGTCCTACAAGTCTAGATTTAAGTTGTGGCCTTTCCAGTTGGCACGATCTGATCCTGCCATTTGCTCTGATTTGTGTTGGTGCTAAATACGGTCAAGTTCTGAAAGAAATTGCGAAGTGCATAGATGCAGGGTGTAAGTTCTTTACACTTTGTGCGCATGCCTGCCCATTAAGAGGGATTTCGATGTTCGTGCTCGCTAGACAAGATGCTGCCTTGTAAATCAAGCAACAGTAGAAGCGTGCCTAGCTATTGTGAAAAAGCCTATTGATAAACACTTTTTAAGTATTACTCTAGGAGAACGTGCCACTGATAAAAAGACTCGATGATTTGACGTCCTACTCGTACAGAACTAATCGTATCCCTTCCTCAAAAGAAATTAATCATACCCCGGCCTATGATGTACTCCGTGGTCTATCTGTGTAGAGCTAGTACTGTGATACACAGGCAACCTCATGTACGTGTATGCTATTGCCCTACGTCATTGAGCTGTTTGGCTACTATTCAGGGTAATGTAGTTTGATTATAAATCCTGCGAACTCACTGTTTTTCTCCCAGTTTAGGAGATATATTTATGATGGGACGTAATTCTGTCATACTCCCTCCGTCTCATAATGTAAGATGTTTATTGAATCTAGTGTAGTGTCAAAAAACGTTTTTACATTACGAGACGGAGGGAGTACATTACATCTCTGCAACACCTTATAGCACTGATGCAAGGGCATTTTTACTTTGTTATACTTGTTCTTTAGTTTCGAGAAATGGTGAAGTCTTCACATGGACTGATGCCATATGCTACGTTTGCACCCATACCTAATAGCTGTGACAAATGCGAATTTTCCACAACCTAATCTTGTCTTTCCAGAATAAGGGCGTGTGAGGGTTTTATCTTCCCAGAATATTTTTCAAATCCAAATGCATTCTATCATTATGTGTGAATGCATCCTTATGATGCAACTTCCTTTTTATGTTTTCAGGTACATTCGTTTTGTTCCTTCCTGTGTGACCACAATATATTTTGTATGCAGCTTAGATTCTTCTTCTGACAAAGTGCACATCACTGAACTATGCCGTGTGGCTTTTTTCTGAACTACTAGCATATTGTGGTCCATTCTTGTGGGTGAAGCAAAGCAGAACTTCCGCTTGAACTAAACGGTCGGTGTTTTTCGTTGCAGGGTTTTCGTGGGCACGGTGAGCGAGTTCTGCGTCAAGCACGCCGAGTGTCCAGTCATCACCATCAAGCGCAAGGCCAACGAAGCTCCCCAGGACCCCATCGACGACTGATGCTTTCGTGCAGCCGTGGTTACTTTGAGAATGGGATGTTCTTCACTGCTCGATGAATTAATGTACAAAATACAATCTGGAAGTGACTGGGAACTGGTACAAACTTTGCAGAGCGCGCCCCAAAACTAGAGTGAAGAACGAACACGCTATGATCGCCGATGGATCATGGATGCCTAGTAGTAAATGCCTAGCAGACACTCTTTATCATATGATGAGATGCATCAAGCTGTGATGAACCTAAAAGCTACTGTGATGATCATGAACCGGGCTTTGCGGAGACGAACGTTCCGCCCCTTACTTGCCCTTGCCTGACCGCGCCGTTGGCAGCCGCGGGGTACCTGAAACCGGCGTACTCCTTCGGCATGCCGGCCTGGGGATGCTGGTGGTGGTGCTGCTGCTGCTGCTGCGGGCGCCCTCTGTTGTCGGCCTTGGCGTCGGTCTTCCACGCGGCGGGCTTCCCCGGCGCGAACTTGATCTCGAAGCCGTCGTCCATGTCGTGGACCACGGCGCGCGAGCTCGGCATGGGCTTCATCGGCGGGTACTTGACCTCGAAGCCCTTCTCCAGGTCGCCGCCCACCGCGTTAGTGCCGTAGTAGTGCTGGTCGGCGTAGGCCTTCTTCTTGGAGAGCCGGCGGCCGCACAGCCGCCCCGCGACGCAGGCGACGACAGCGAGGAAGGAGATGACGCCCAGCACGGTGAAGACTGGCGCGAAGGAGCCCCTGGACGTGGTGGCCGGCTGCGCGTGCATGATGGGGTTGGTGGTGGGGTAATACGGCATGGGCTGAGTCATGGAAGCCATGGCAGCTTCTCCTCTCCTCTCTGCGCCTCTCGTGCTCTTGAAGACTACTCTCTGATGAGTCTCTGCGCTCAAAGAAATGGCTTGCGATGGAGCGTTGGCTTCGTGGGTAGTGGTGTGGTCCTTTTATGATGGAGCGGGGCAGAGGCAGAGGCAGAGGCCCGGGTTTGAATTGAACAAAATTCCTTTTCGCCCTCGCACTCCAAGCGCCGGTATGATGATGTTGCATCTCCTATCTTTTCACTCATTCGTTCTTTTTTTTTACCTCTCGCTCTCGCTCGCCGCAGAGATCTTTGAACGCATCGGGCCGCGAGAAAGGCGCGCGCTTTGGAGCAGTTCAATGCGCGGGCTTGGCACAACGTCTCCCTCAGGGTTGGCCTCGCCCTCACGCTCTACTGTGCTGTGCTGTGCTGCTGGCTCTCTGCTTTTGCTTTTGGACGTTGCATTGCATTGGATCAAAGCAACCGTAGCAGCGAGGAGCAGCAGCGAGCAGGAGCAGGCAGGGACATCACATCGCTTTGGCTTCTTTGATTGCTTTCCCCGCTCCGCTTTAGCAGATTGTGGGGGCGCAGAGGAATGAGCGCCTACTGCTTGACTAGCCACCTTTCTTGGGCGTGCCGATCTAAAACGCCTCGCATATACTCAAATTCCGTGAGGTGACATGTTAGGCGTAGGGTTTGGTTTTGCTGTTCCATGATATTTGCTCGAATACGGTCTAGTGGTAGACATCTCCAGTGTAGGCTGCGGATGGTATTTTGGCGGCGTGTAGGAGGCACAATAATTTTGCCTAGGTACGTAGCAACGTGGAGAACGACTCCCGACCCCGTGCCGCTCCCGCGAGCGGCCCGGGCGTAGCCCTAGACCCTCGCCGCCGCCACCCCTCACCTCGCCTCTCCCCTCCCCCGCCGCCGCCAGGGGCCGCCGCCGGGCGAAGCCCGTGCGTGCGTGCGGCGGTGGCGGCGGGTTTCTTCCCTCCCCGCGAAACATCCGGTCGGCGCGGGACGGCTGGCCTCGCGGTGGCGTGTCGGGCCGGCGGCGGCCTGGGGGTGGCTCCGAGGGGCGGCGCCGGTGCTCTGCTCCTCTGGGCGGTAACCTTGGCGCGCGGCTAGGCCGGGTGCGGGCCGGCGCGCGGATCTGGCGCGGCTGCGGGCGGGCTCGCGATGGCCGAGTCGTGCTGCTGAGGTGGGGGACGCCGGGGCGGCGGCCTCGGCCCGGGCTCCCGGTGGCCTGGGCGTGGACGGCATACGGGCGCGCGGCGGCTCCTGGCTCCGGATGTGCGCGTGGGGCGCGGATCGACAGCCGGGCACGGCGGCGGCAGGCGTATGTCGGGCGCGGGAACCAGCCGGGCGTGGCGGGTGCGGCTTCGGAGCGCGAGGTGTGCTGCGGGCGGTGGACCTGCTCGTCTGCTCTGCTGCTTCGCTTGCGGCTCCGATCTGGATCTGGCGTGAGCTGCTTCTTCGGTCTGGTGCTGCTCTTCGCGATGTGGTGTTGGTTGTTGCGGTGGTGGTGGCTGCGGTGGTGCTGCGGTGGTGGACGGCGGCTTCGGCCAGGGGGTGGTGCGGTTCTGGTCGCGGTGGATCGTGGGATCCCGTGGCCGGAGTGAGGTCGGCCTCGGCAGGGGTGGTGGTTTGTTGGCGGCGGTCGGTGGTGGCGGGCGGTCGGCACATCTCCGAGAGAAATCCTTGCTCCGGTCTCCACCGGAGCCGACGGCGGCGGCGCCCGCGGGTGCCGTGATCTTTCTTGGAAGCGTCGTCGTGGAGGTGCGCTCCTCCTCCCCACGGCTTTGGCTCCGGAGGGAAACCTCAGATCCTCTGGATCGGGCGATGGAGGCGTCTTCGCGTCTTTCTCCTCCTTGGGGGCATCGTCTCGGAGCAGGCAACGACTGGGAGACCGATGGATGGCGGCATCTTCGCCGTGTGGGTTGCGGCATCTTCGCCGCGTGGTTTGTGGCATCTTCGCCGCGTAGTTTGCCGAGGCGGCCTTTTCGGGGGCGCTGATTTCCGTTTGGCAACGAAGATGGCGTCGAGAGGAACTCTGATCGCGGCTCGGGCTTCGGTAGTCGGATCTTCCCGGCGTGTCCGAGGTGCTCTTTGGGGCACGGTCGGCGCAAGTCCTGCATATTTCCCTTGTGATGATCGTCGTCAGAGTCGGAGCTGTCGGCTGTTCGCGCGTGTGGTCTTCTGTTGGCATGTGCCGTCATGGTTTCTGTGCAGCTGTTTGCGGGTTGGCTTCGACGATGAAGGTCTACGGTGAAGTCGGAGTCACCCGTTCGGAGGTAGCCGGTGATGACGATGACGCTTGCGACTGCTTGGCGGATGTCTTTCCCTCTTTGTAGCTTTGTGATCCCATGTCGGTGGCCAGGTTGACCGGTGGTATCCATTTTATGTGGGTTGAATTGTATCGGTTTTAGCCTGGTTTTCCGTCAATTAACCGGTCAATTCTCACTCCTCCTTAATTAATGAAAATGGCAAGTCTTTTGCCTCGTTTCAAAAAAAAAAATAGCAACGTGGACGTCGTTGTCACTCGAGCAGATGCATTCTACTGATTGAGCCACGAGACGAGAAGCATGCGTCGCCAGGAATGCTCGACGGATGGAAATCGATAACCCTTTTGCCTACATACAGGAACAGAGGAACTGAACTACTGAACGGCGTAATGTAGAGCTCTTCAGATTACGCCAGCCTGCAAATGTTCGAGCTGTTGGAGGGATCTTCGGGACGAATTTAAAAATGGAACGAAATACAGTGTGTAGTGTAGAGCGGTGGATCATTTGCCCTGAACTGATGGATTCACGTCGGGTCGGCGAAGTTGGAATGAAGTACTATACTAGTAGTACTCCTGTCCACTTGGGCGACCGGCCGGAGGGACGACTGTGCAGGATGCTTGCTTGCTACTACAGTAGTGCATTTGCTCTGCGACTGCGCGGCGCCACAATTTGGTCGCGTCACGCGGAGCTGCCGCTGCTTTGCTCGGCCGGGCTGTCCTGCTCCTGTCCGCAGTCGCACTCGAGAGAGATTCCTGCCGCTGCCCGCTGCCAGGTCCCAGGTGTCGTGTCGCCACCCATGCCATGCCCGTGTTGTCACCCTCACCCAGGTACACGACGACGGCAAGAGGAAAAAGCAAAGCTACCGGCGTACTGCTAGTACAGTGCTAGTGCTACTGCCTGTCACTTGCCAAGCAGCCAAACCAGTGTCTAGACCCGACCCGAGGAGCACGTCCTCTGTTGAACCTGATTTTCACAAAATGGAAGGAGCGTTGTATTGGAGGTGTATTTTGTGTGCATCGTGATGTACTGCTACGAACTGGGCAATGCGGGCACCAGGAGCTTCCCAGCCTAAGAGCATCCACACCCGGTCATCCTAAATCCGTCTCAAACGTCTGAATGAACGGCTCGATCAGTGACCGATCAGAAACAACCGACCTAAGGCCAACTCCACCGCACGACCCTATCCTGTCCGGCCCCGTCCGTTTGAGGTAAAACGAACAAACGAGGCGGTCCAACGCGCGGGAGCAAACGGACTTTTGTCCGTTTTGTGTCCGCTTTTGACCCATCCGCGGCCCAAGTTTGCGCCGCTTTTGGGGTGAAACGGACACCACGCGGACGCGCGGGTCGTCTGCACGTGTCCTCCCCTGGCCCGCCCGTCGGTGGCACAGGGCGAGCCTTTTTCTATCTGCCCCCTTCCTCTCTCCGGCCGCACCCCTTCCACTCTTCCCCTCGCTGCCGCCGCCGCCGCTGACATTGCAGCCGTGCAGTTCGGACGCGAGCTCACCCAGCCCCTTCCCCTCGGCGCCGCCGAGCTACCAACCATGGCCACCTGGTGTGCGCACCTGCCGGCCGGATTTGGGGCGGATCCGGTCGGTCTTGAGCTCGGCCGGCTGTGGGAGGCCGGGCCGCGCCATGGACTGGCCGGGCCGCAAGGCCACATGCAGGCAGTGGCTCCTCCTCTAGCCACTCGGATTTGCACCGTCGATGGTCCGCCGGCAGATACACGAATGGCGGTCGGCCGGGCTCGGTGCTTGCCCAAAAGCTCGCCGGCGCACCGTTGCCATTCATTAAGTGCGACCACTGCCCAAGGATGGTCGTGCGCCGCATGTCTCAACGCCGGAACATCCCGGATGGGTATTCATCAAGTGCTTAAACGACGGGGTATGCACTTTTTTTAGCTTCGGTCTGTGCTCTAGATTTGACTAGTTGTGCTAACTT